ACACACAGACACACATACACACAGACACACACACACACACACACACACACACACACACACACACACACACACACACACACACACACACACACACTTGGCGGAGGACTATTCCGTCTTAGGTAAGTTGTACTCTGCCCTCCATGGCTTTATGAATGAATGGTTCGTGGCCCTGTGATACGTACAATGCTTCACACGTATGAAAAGAGGGGGGCGGGGTGCTTGGGGGGAACTTGTCAGTAGGCCGCGGAACACCCCCTACGGTTGCCAAACCAATGGGGAGCGGTTTGGGTGGAGAGTGAGAGCAGGGAGAGAGGAGTTGACTACTGCGTGCCGGATTCGTTTTAATGTCATTGATTCCAAGAAAAAATGACATCCAGTAGTCAACCCTGCTATGATGTCCGTGTACTGACTGGCATCGTCTCACGACCGCATACTTCCTGCAGAGGGACACACAAACAACATTAAACAAACCCTCACGGAGCTTGAAATCATCGTTTTGCCGTTCCACTTACAGACACATACACAAAAGCACAACTATCATGTCGATGTCAGCGGCGCAGGCGAGGACAACTCTTAAAGAGGTAATGCAATACGCTGAGGAAGGCATCCACTACGATGACGACGGGGAGCTTGAACTACTAACGGAGAGAGTGCCCAGCTACTTCGAAGTCAGAGTGAACATTCGTGCAAGCATCACTGCGAACGGAGAGGAGTCGCTCAGAGCACGGATGCTATTGGCACGGTTCACAGAGGCGCGTGATTTGCGTGTAAACGACAGTGCTGATACCAGTGCCTACAGATTGAGAAAAGTGGTTGGTTGGATGTGCACAGAAGGGATGTCTGCTGAAGGGGACGTGGATATGACAAAGCAGCAGCAGGGCGGAACATACACAGCAGCTGATTTCAAGAAGATGCTCATGACACAGGCGAGGAAATGGGGAATGTTTGTTGAAGATTCTAACGACGAGTTGAAGAGCGGTGCAACATAAATTATGTTGCTGTCGCGTTTGAAGGACATACCGCGAGCTCCTCCGCAAGACTTCCAAGATCTTCCAGTCATTATTGCAAACGGGGTGGAGTATGTTTTACTTGACCAGCTGGTGGATTTCATGCAAAAGAGTTCTCAGGATCGGAATGTCATACATGAGGCATTGCATGATGTGACAGAGCAAGCACTGGCGGGCAAGGACCTCGTTAACTACAAGGTGCGGACTGTGGAAGAGGATGTCATATGTGGAACTCCATTATGGGATGGAATATTCATGGAAGCTTTGCATCGCCTCACCATCGCGACTACTGACGTGGACAGAAAGAGGTCAAGGGAGGAAGGATGAAAGTTGATCGCCAGGGAAGCAGATGTTGCACTTCAAGCTGCAGATGGACACATTTCATCAGGGGAAGAAATTGACAGAACAGTCTCCTTCGTGCGTGGGCGGATCATCACAGTGTCTAGGGAGGAGGTTGAAGAAGAAGATGTGTTTAATGAGTGGACAATGATAGAACAACAACGGCGACGAGGGTTCAAAGACTTTTCTTTACCAATCGATTTTGACTATGACATTGAAGAAACAACAGTGAGGAACAATGAAAAAGATGCGAAACCGCCAACATATGAGGTGGAAGTGAGTGGCACCGATGTGAGCAGCGACGAGGAGCGTGAGGAGTATGATGCGTACTGGGATATTGAAGCAGGAGGAGGGCAAGCATCTAAAGGGTGGGCACATGCGATTMTCAGGTTGGCACGTGTTTTCCATAATCCCCATTTACTGTTGCGTGTCGTGCTTAAGGAGGCAACACTTGACGGCATACTCCAGTATGCAGCACTGACCACCATTATGAGATCATGCTCGAATGGAAAAAGATGGTCACGTATGGAGAAAAATTGGTTTGTCTTGGTCAACAGAGAGGCTGTCCTCGCAACCTTGCTCACTTGGGGCCTGGACCTTAGTTGCCTCCTGCACGGGGCTATAGCCAGCGGTTCTGGTGCTACGTTGCACCCGGCACTATCAACAAGAGAGGATATACTTCGTGCTCACACATGGCTTGGCTGCGCTTCAGAGACCATGATGGACAGCGGGGATACAAACATTGGTGGTGGACAGCGTTGAATGCAATTGTGCGTTGCACAAACATTCTTCTTGTTTGACTAATTTTGCTATTCACAGACAGAGTTTGCGAGGTATTTGAAGTGTTGGAGTGCTCGACAACGGTGTACAAACTTAAGTTTTTTTTTTCTCTCTCTCTTTCTCTCTTTCTCTCTCTCTCTCTCTCTCTCTCTCTCTCTCTCTCTCTCTCTCTCTCTCTCTTTCTGCGAGTCTTTCTTTCATGCAATGAGACTGTTGGACCCCACGCATAAATGTCGAAGGCCCAAGCGACGACAGACGATGATAGATATCGACAACTTAAGTTTTTTTTTTTTTTTTTTTCATCAGAGGTGACAGATAACGAGAGCCTCAGGGACGACAGACGATGACAGATGACTCGTTGCTGTACTATCATCATGGTGATTGGAGTTCCAATTCTGCTTTCGGTTTGACGTGATGACTCTTTGATTTTCATGTTCATAATGTGGAATGCTTGTTGAAGTGTGCTATTGCGCAAAGTGGTGTGTGTGTGTGTGTGTGTGTGTGTGTGTGTGTGTGTGTGTGTGTGCGGTCAGAAAACAAGGATGTGACGCCTTAAAAGAAAATGTTGCATGGCTCGAAGTAAAAAAAAAAAAAAAAAAAAAGGCAAAACATTCACCACAATTTCTGATTTTAATTTCAGTTTGAATGTTGTCATTGTCTTCGAATCTGTGAGTAGTGCACAGCAACGGTGTTGAGTCGACGGGAGGTAGAGGGGGAACGCGGGAGGGGGGAGTGTGAAAGGAGCGCATGAATTTGGGACCAAATACGCATCCTCTATCGATGGTAGGTCTTAACTGACAGTAATTCGTAAGACCTCGCACGTAGATGCAATGGAAGACGCGAATCACGTGTGTGACTGTGGCCGGCCTTTCATGTCATTGCGGACGATGAACTCGCACCGAGCGTGGGCATGTCCCTCCACTGTGGAAGAGAGGAGCATGACAGAAGAGATAGTTGGGGAGGTCAACGGCGGACCGTCGAATAGTGGTCCAATTGACCTGGTCAGTGGGGAAAGCCAGGAGGTTGAGCCCCCTCCTGGTGTACAAGCGGACCGCGCATCCGAAGAACAGCAAGAAGAACACGCAGAGGCATTCGACAACTCCCACAAACTAGCGACATTGATTTTCTCGTGTAGGGGCGGTGTGGGCATGTCCCAAACTGACGTTGACTGTCTGTTGTCACTCCTAAAAAATCCTAGATTTGACCCCAGAGATATCGCATTTCGTAACAGTCGTGAGTGTCTGACATGGGCAGGCCGCCAGGCTGAAGCTGCAGGATGGCAAGAGAAGAATTTACGCAGTGATGATTGGCCCGAAGAAGTGCATGTCATTCTGTGGTACCGCGACTGGCGCACAACGTTCGCTGACCTCGTGCGTGATGCACTGAACAACGTTGAAACGGCTTCTTGCCTCGAAATACAACATCCCGGGGAGGACATCGAAATCTGCGACTCTCGCACGGGGCAGTTGAGTCACCATGTCCAAACTGTTATCAGAGCAGACAAGGGTGTGGACACGAATGGTAGAACACATTATGTCAGCCCTCTGTCTCTGTATGCAGACAAGACTCGTGTAGACGGTCATCAAAAGTAGATAGCGTATCCTCTGATGATGTCAATCGCCCATCTCCCATAGGATGCCACACTGCTTGCGTATCTTCCAGTGCTTCAACAGCGGCCACGTGACAAGGGCTGGGGTCCGCACTCCACCGCGTTTAGAAAACGGAAAACTGTGATATTGCATAAAACGTTGTCAACAGTATTGCAGTCCGCAAAGGAGGCATCCCATGACGGCATGATGGTAACAACGGAGCGGTTCGGTGAGATAACAGTGCACCCTTTCGTCACGAACTATATACAGGACTATCCTGAAAGATGTGCCCTTGCAACTGTGAAATTCGGTGTTTGTCCAACATGCACAGTGTCCAAAGACGATTTGGATGTCATCGCCGATTTCACCAACTGCAGGAGATCGCAGACGCTAGAGACGCAACTTGCCGCAGACTGCTTCAACAGTGGGGAAAACGACATTCGTCGTGCTGCTGAGGCACGAATGTCAGAATTGGACATGCAGAAGCATGTTCAAGAGAACGACCTATGAGGATTCTACAGGGGTCCGCATGGTGACGATCCTGAACTAGATTACCATCTCGCTTTGCAACCAGACCGTATGCATAGCATTGAACACGACATTTTTTTGCATATGATAGATGCATTCAAGGCAGCTGCTTATAAGAAGTTGCCAGATAAAGCGCAAAGCGAGATATTGCACGAGATGGATGCAGGGTTGCAGAGCATCAGTGAGAGATCCACACGGACATACCCGCAGCTTGTGTTGCCCGTAGCCACAGGTTGTGATTTCTTTTCAAGGGAAGGACGATTTGAAGCGAAGCAAAATCGGTCTGTTATGACAGTTTGCGTGTTTATTATTTRTGATATCATCCCACGTGCGACAGRCAAATCCATTTCCGCTTGTTTCATCAAACTCATGGAAATGTACATACACGTGTTTCGTAAGTCAACCCATACAGCGTCCTCTCTCGATGTTTGTGACACATTGATAGGTGATTTCATAACTAGTATAAAAACGAAGATGGAAAAATATCAAACCTCTGATTGGAAAATTCCGAAGTTGCATGACCTTATGCATTTGAGAACAAGCATAGAGCGATCTGGTGTTCCCGACACGTTCGCAGCTGATGTGTGGGAGCATAATCATCAAAGGTTCTGCAAACAGCCATATTTGTCATCAAACAAGCGTAAGGCTGCTTCCCAGATGGTGAATCATGTCTGACGCTCATTGCCTTTGCAGGATGAGATGAAGAGTGTGAGAAAACGCAGGAAGAGGTTGACAGAAAATTGGTCATCCGTGATAGAGTGCATGGCCACCGGAAGTAATACCCTGGCAGCGCGCGACACAACAACTCTACAACTCCGGTGGTTCCAGATGAACGATGTGCATTTGCCAGACGTAGAGGGTATGAGCGATGCGGCGTTGAGAATACTTAATGAGCTTCCCCGCAGAGAGGATTTTCGAGATGCACTTACGACGTTCATGACAGAGATGGGTTGTCAACCTCCATCTGATGACCAAGTCATACACACTCGAACACACTTGACTATCGCCTGCACATACGACGGGACGCACAGGGGCGCAAGCATTCAGACGACAAGAGCTTCACCACAGTTCCACGGGAGAGCCGTGCACAACGATGTTGCAGTGAGAGGTGGCAATGACAACATATGGTATGCATCAGTAGCCATGTTTTTCGTCATGAATGCTTGCACAGGTGGTGTTGCGGAGATGCACAAATGTTGTTTCGTGCAATGGTACAAAGAGGTGGATAGCGAAAGGGAACACACAACAGGTTGTAAGAAGTTGCAATGGGAGAAGGTGAACGGTCATCAGCACAGTAGCGTCATAACGATTGATACCATCATTGACACCGTTCACATTGTTCCTCGTTTTTGTAAACCACAGTGGGGCTCGAAGAAGCATGCAAAAGAGAGGGAGGACAATTTTTTGTTGAATAGATATGTACTCTAAAAGTTTACAGGGAATTACTCGTTGTGAAAAAAAACAAAAATTAAAAGGCTGATCGTTTTTCCGTGAACAATAAGTGGTGGGCACAGTTGCAATGTTATACTACAGCATGCACTCAACTTTTGTTTTTCTATTACACACACACAGAGAGAGAGAGAGAGAGAGAGAGAGAGAGAGAGAGAGAGAGAGAGAGAGAGAGAGAGAGAGAGAAGCGTTTGAACAACAATAGTCATTTGGTAAAGATGGAGTCCGAACATCGGTAGATTTTTCGAGCGCGGAGCCTGCATTTCTGACCACTGTTGCATAGCTTATGTGTCATCTTACACAGCAATGTAGAGAAAGGTGGATCAAACCAGTGTGTATGACGAAGGTAACTTCAGAGTTGACTACTGCGTGCACATGTATGGCGAACGTGGACTTAAAAGTAGGAGGTGGCACGCACTAGTCAACCCATGTCTATACTTGCCAAGTTACTAACGAGATGTGGTTCATGTCCATATGACTGCCATGTGAACAGGAAAGGTTGAGGTCGAGGTAACGCCACAATAACAATCTGCACTGGAAGAAATTGCAAGACAGCAAGCGGAAAAATAAGCGTATTGAGGAATTGCTGAGAAACCGATTTAGACTGACACTGCCATCAGTTGTCACATCTGTTGCACGACGGAGAATAAGGGTTGTTCAGATGAGCCAGTTTGACAAAATCCACGAGGGGGTAGATGGCAACGGTTGTATCATGGACTCCAAAGCGACGGACAGTTCAGAAACAGCAAGGAATGACGAACACTCATGTGGACCAACTGTCACCGAACCGTTGCTCCCATTGAGCAGTGAGAGATCAGTGAATCAATGGAAGAGGATACTGGAAGACCCTTGGTATGCGGAAATGTATCAGATGATGACCACAGATGACGCCCAATATCCTCAGATGGTGCATGAACCTTTGTTCAATATTGCAGGAGGCAATCGGTCAACGGGTATGGCTGCAGAGGCTGGAAAGAGACCCAAGAGGGTGGACGAGGAACACTTGTTCCCGTTCACGTGGAAATCAAGAAGACACGCCATATCGATAACAAAACGGGACGTATTGCGATTGGGTGCCAAGCAGTGGTTGAACGATAACGTGATCGATATGTACTTACAGTTCATCTATGACGAACATTTTCCAGACGGAGACAATATGACACTTCATGTTTGCACATCTTTCTGGCACACCGCAGTCATCGCTAATCAGAAGGTTTATGTCCCGAAAGCGGAATGGCAGGGGTGGATCAAGAGTACATCGCCAAAGCTGCGTCGAATAAGCAATGAACTGCGAACAAAAAGTGTTGTTCTCATCCCTGTGAATCACGAAAACCATTGGAAATTGCTCTTGCTACTGAATGTCGGCCAGTTTTTGGCAGTAACGGAGGACAACGATGGCCAGAAACGACCTGTTGTGATCGTCATCGATTCCTTTCAACAGAGCGACCGACAGGAATGGAAGGCGTTGCGCACATTTTTATGGTATGAATACCTCAGCGAGGCAGACAAAGCAGGGGTGTTGACTCCCGACACAGTGGACACGTCGTGGGTGACATGAAGAGATCTACTTGGATCTAAGATAGTGTACGCTGAATGTTCGCAACAGACCAATACGTCGGACTGTGGTGTTTATGTTTGTTGCGTGGCAGCTGAATTGATGCGAAAGCTAGCAAAACAGAGTAAGCAAACGAACATTACCGCAAAATATATAACAGAAGTTGTTAGCGCGATGGAGGTTGACAACCGAACGGTCGACATATTTCGTCAGTCAATGGTACAACGCTTTGCGCAGTGTGTTGTCGAGGCAAAAGGATATAACACCGCAGCAGCATGTGACATAGAAAATGTTTTCAGAAATCTCATAGACGGAACACGGAGTGGATGTTCATAAATACGAGGGCATGATAAAATCCGTGAGATCAGGAAACAGGAAGTTGACAACCGCGTGCAAATATACAGAACTCACACGTCGTAGAGAAGTCAATCGGCACGCAGTAGTCAACTTTTGCGCTCAGTCGATGGATGAATGCCTGATGTAATAAAGAAAAAAATGCCATCTTTCGTGTCATAACGGCAAAAAAACTCTCTTTCTCTCTCTCTCTCTCTCTCTCTCTCTCTCTCTCTCTCTCTCTCTCTCTCTCTCTCTCTCTCTCCCCCTACGTGTGAAAATCTCGCCTGGGGTAGTGGATGACAAATGGTCGTTGTATAATATAAAATCATTCCATGTCTAACGTGAGTGTTTGTGAATTCATGCATGTCAGAGGCTTTTAATAAGCGTGAAGAGAATGGCTCCGAAGCCAAGGTACGAGGATCTGTGCAAGACCTTGAAGTCCACAGGGGGGAGAGAGAAGGGGGAGAGGACAGCAAAAGAAGGCCAGAAGACTGTCAAGCATAGACATACCAGCAGGGATATTCCCCGATTCAAGAGACGGGAGACGAACATAGTCCGTAGAACAGAAGCTGTGCTCTCTGTCCCGCCGAGGAAAAAGCAGAGTGGGAAATTGCTCGCACACAACAAGTCACCTGCCGCGACTCCCTTGCTGCGGAAGGGACACGGCAACCTCGAGAGACAGCCTCCGACAGCGCCACAGAAGAAAAGACGAGAAGAAAAAGCACAGAGTCAACAACTGAGGACAAAGAAAAGAATAATATACAGAAAAGATAGGAGTCCTTAAGCAATCGACCTCAGAGGGTCRTACGATTTACGAACCACAGCTCAGGAGGAAGACGAAGAGRAAAACTGTGYGGAAGAAATGTCARAAGAAGTAGAACACGAGAGAATGCAAGAACGAGGAGAAGGTGACAACAGTGACGGTCACCATGATGTCGATGCAGAGGAGAGCGATCCGGAGGGAGAAGAGGCAAAGGGAGAGGACAGATCCAAGGAGGGCGGAGAGGCAGAGGAAGGCAACAGTGAAGACGAAGAAAGAAAGATTACATCTGCTGAGAACAGTGCACAATGCGGAACTGATGAGAAAAAGGGAGGCGCCCTAGAAACTTCATCGAATGACAAACAAATTGTGGAGAGGGAGAATGTACTGCTACAGGGTAAGATGAAGGGCGCCTTATAAAGACACCACTATGTATGCACAGCACAGTCGTTGTTGCATGCCGCAGAAACGACGAGGTTCACGGGGGGGAGGGGGGGAAGGGGAGGGGGCCGTTGGGAGGGGGTCTTTATGAGAGGTGTTACGAAGTGTATTCGGAGGAGGGTATGGCAGGGGAGTTGACGGTCTTATGTTTGTTTGTGATTGCAACACATAGAACACGTATCGCGGAGGGTCTTTTTATTACTAAATCAATAATTTGTTGTTATTTTTGTATTTTTTTTCCAGATTGCACCAATTTGCGTAGGCGAAGCAGCACCGATGGAGGCAATGCTGGCGAACCAACAGAGCAACAAACCAGGGGTTTTACAAAGAAAATGAAAGACAGACTGTTTCGTTTGGTGGCAAAGGCCTTTGCTTTTTCTGCAGCAAAGGATGCCACGCTGTACCCAACGGAGGACATTTTTTTCACGGCACTGCAAACAACTGCGAAATCGATAGGAGAAGATGTGGAGGAAGGACTACGGTTGCACGTGGCAGTGTACGGAATCCGAGCAGTGATCGGGGAATGCAATCGGGTTATGACAACGGTCCGCGGCGAGATATCTTGGCAATTGAGACATTGGTTTTGGGCCGAAAAAGGTCTGCCGCTGGTCCGGTCGGCCCAAACGGACCACCAGCTTCCGACTCGCAACAGGATGCGGGCAGAGATGAAAGGGAACACAACATGGAAAAGGAGCGGCAATGATCCAAGGGGCGCCCCTCCTTTCAAGACGGCACTGACAAAAGTTTTTCAAATGAGAAGGGATGGCATCAACCTCGGTGTAACGTTGCAGCAACTTGCATTTGCGGAACTGGTACTGAAAACTGAAGTCGAACAGATGGCAAAGACCAGCAAGGCAGCGGACCAAATACAAAAACTTGCAACTATCAAGAAGGAGATTGTTGCGTCGCTCCGCTTCCGAGACACCGTTGTAAGCTTTTCTGTCTTCAAGCTCGACCGTGTTGTTTCTGTTGCAGAGAAGGCTGTCGCATTGTACAGAGTCGGGTTACCTGCTGTACGGAGGGGAAACGCCAATAACATGACTACCACAGATGATGATTTTGAATTTGAGTTCATTGCGCCCACCGACGACAAACGTGCGGGCGGAGAGAGAAACGAAGAAAGTTTGTGCGTAAGGCCGTGAAAAGGAGAAGAAGGGGTCCGATTGTAGATGAACGGGGGTTAGGGGTGGAACATAGGGAGCAGACAGTGGCAACGGTGTTGTAGGGGACATGAGTTGCACCTCCACTCACAGTCAGTGGCATGACACGAAGCCAATGAGGACCAAAATGTAAAATAAGAGAGAGAGAGAGAGAGAGAGAGAGAGAGAGAGAGAGAGAGAGAGAGAGAGAGAGAGAGAG